AATTGCAGCTCCTGATGATGATGGCAAAGTCCATTGAAAGCTAGAGAGAATTAAAAAAGTATAAAGAGTCCTCTTTGCTTAAATTTTGTCGAAGTACCCAACAAAAGGCGGAAGCTTTAATTTTTCACCTAACTGGTCTAGACGACAATGACCACGTCTCAAGTTATATGTATATATTTATATAGTAAATAGAAAGACACCTGTGACAAATTTCTCACGGATATTTTTTTAACGGGGAATATAGCATTAGGGCTATCTTCAGATAAAATACTTTAATCAATACTATTACATGTTGATGAATATAGCAATCAAGTCAGAAGATTCAATGAAAAGGCCAACCATTGCTCACAGTGAAGGCGTCGCGAAAAATAGCACACTAGACGTAGCACGTGTAAATATAAGATCACTTATTCCAAGCTTTGATATGTTTATTAGGCATTAGAGCAGAACCTCAATACTACAGCAATAACAGAGATTTGGTTTACACCTGATTTTGACAGACAAGAAAGAGGAGGTGGAGCATGTTTTTTATCCATACCAACATAAAATTTAAAGTCATAGATTGTAACAAAATTTCTTCGGATGGCATTAGATCTGCGGTTATCGCTAAAACTAAATAATGAGATCAGTGCGGTAGCTGTTATTTGACATCTCCTGCATTAAGTTTACTTCCTCGCCTTGAGAATAACCATCCTTCCATATGCATTACCCATGATGAAGTTATATTGACCTCACCGATAAGTTTTCGAATCCCAGTAAGAAAATCTTACAATCCATGGCATTATTCAATCTCGTTCAAGTTACTGGTGAACCTACAAGAATCACCAAGAAATCAGCTACTATGATTGATGTAAGTTTTGTATCAAATGCATTGGATGTACACAAGAGTGGCACTATAGGTATGGGAAAATATGACATACGTGCTCCGATGGAAATAACTACACCTCGTGAATTCTACAGGCCGTTCGTTATCTATATGATGAAATGTATAATATGACGGATTTGATGAAGGGCTTGTTGAAAATTTCATATTTCTTAACGACCTGCAGAAGGAAGCATACAAAACCGTTGACCCGTGCCATCGGAACTACTTTCAAATTATCAGGCTCTATGCGCAAAGCCTTTCAAGAAAACGCAAGTTTCAAGAGGCAGCTGTCGTCTACCTGATGCTGGACTACATAAAGAGGCGATAGAAGAATATAGACTTGGTTTAGACTGGAGAGAGGTCATAAGGCTTATGACTGTATTGAAGTATGATGAATCTGTCAAGCGAGATGTGTTGGGGAAGATTGCGGATGACCTGGTAAAAGAGAAAAGGGTAGAGGAAGCTGTGATAGTGTTGGAATACCATAATAAAGATTATAAGAAGACGATCAAGACTTTGATGGACTTCAAGTCCTTCAGGCACGCCATATGCCTAGCAGTATCACTGGGTCTTGATTTAGAACTGCCTACTATTGCCGACGGTTTGAGCAAATATCTAGGCGACCTAAAGGAAAAACTGTTGTCGTTCAAGGATCAGTTTGAACGGTACAGAAGGCGTCTGAAGATCGCAAGGAAGGAACAGATGAACAGGTTCGAGCTAACGCATTGGGCATCTACAATCGAAATACGGAAGAAGAACTCTCAGACATTGCTAGCATAGTTCCTCCATGCCATCGACTAGCTCTGGACGAACTAACTCCACCACTTTGACAGCAAAGAACAGGCGTAAACATATCAAGGAACTGACCCCTAAGCTGATCAGATTGTGCAGTCCTTTGAACTTTCGAATTGCTTGCAAATCCGTCCTCACTATAAACTGCATTTTTTCAAAAATGAAAGACAAAGTCCCGCTGCTTGGCTTAACCAACAGTCTACTCCATCAATTGTAACAACTGCAACCAAATATACATAGGTTAGACCTCCAGATCTCTTAAAGGAAGGATTACATCACACAAAAGTGATGCGAGGCTTCATCCTGAAAGATGCGCTCTAGCATCTCATGTTAACACAACAGGGCATTCTATGAATTACACAAGTATCAAAGTTCTTGATAAAGAAAAACACCTTTCCAAACGTTTATTCCTGGAAATGTCCCACATTTTCATGAATAACAACTGTATCAACAAAAAGACAGATGTTAAACAACTGAGTGTCATTTACTCATATTTGCTAAACTGCGAAAAATTGGAGAACTTACATATCTCCCCAAATTTCGACTCTTCACAACCATAAATAGAATCTGTGTTTTGGCCGATTCCACCAGTAAATTTCATTCCACTCAAAATATAATAATTCTCTTCTCACCATTTATTAATAATTGTTAATTTAAATTCCCATTAATTAAGATATAGTTTATTCAACTGCCTCTGGTCGGTTTAACAATTTCTCACATAACATTCTGAAAATCACATCATCTGAAATGATTTGGCAACGTTTGGCACACGCCCACAATTCGTTCCATCTTTCAACACAGACATTGACAACCTTAGGCCTTCTGTCAAAGGGTTTCATCTCACTCACTATTCCATGACCACCATTTTGTGCAATCATCAAGTGGCTTCACGATGTAATGCTCTAATGTTTTTTAAATAATTTTAATCTGTTTTTAACTTGTTCTTGTCATATTTTATATAATTTTGACCATTGTACCATCTATCCAGCTCTCACCATGTTACTGGACGTTTCCCTCATCCTATACGTAAACAACAATTAGCAACATCCTCACATACTACTGTAAGTTGAGTCAATTTGAATTCATTTTACACTTTTGTTGCTACTGTTATCATTGTAATTGCAGCTCCTGATGATGATGGCAAAGTCCATTGAAAGCTAGAGAGAATTAAAAAAGTATAAAGAGTCCTCTTTGCTTAAATTTTGTCGAAGTACCCAACAAAAGGCGGAAGCTTTAATTTTTCACCTAACTGGTCTAGACGACAATGACCACGTCTCAAGTTATATATATATATATATATATAGTAAATAGAAAGACACCTATGACAAATTTCTCACGGATATTTTTTTAACGCGGGAATATAGCATTAGGGCTATCTTCGGATAAAATACTTTAATCAATACTATTACATAGTAATTCATTACAAATTATTTTTTCCTAGCGATTACACCAGCTAACACGCCAGATACTTTCTCCGTGTATACATCCGACTGGAACTTAGGTTATTCGACCCTTCTGATTGCTTCTAACTTGGGACTGATACTTGTTTATTCAAGAGAACTAATCCAAATCGATTTACTAATGGCAGAGCATAAGCTGACATGCTTGATCTGGAATCCACTGTAATACCAGCGATACTACTAAGAGTTCATTCTGCATGACCTATGCATGCACACTAAATGGGAAAAGACTTCTCATTTTGGATCATAGCAAACTACCTGCAACATTTGACTACAAGATAGTGGCAATATTTGACGTGAACGACGATTACATCAACTGCTTGTGCTGGAACCATTATGGCAGCAAAATTTCCGAGTGTACAGAAAATGGATTTGTCTATGTAAGTAATAGTGACATCGACCTGTTATCAATGTTGTTTTAAGCGCATTCGAATTGACGTATCTCACCAAACTGAAAACCGGTTCAGTTTCATAAAAAGTCTACCTCAAACTTAGGGTTGTCCAAATATGAAAATCAGTTAGCTTGATGTTTGGAATTATCTGCCATAAAGTATGACGGACATGCATGTAATGATTTAAAGTTACTGTCGTAAGTATATTGATCCCTGATACCTCACTGCCCACGCTCAGTGGCGGAAGTTTTGAAAATGATATATTTTTTGGATGTTGATGAATATAGCAATCAAGTCAGAAGATTCAATGAAAAGGCCAACCATTGCTCACAGTGAAGGCGTCGCGAAAAATAGCACACTAGACGTAGCACGTGTAAATATAAGATCACTTATTCCAAGCTTTGATATGTTTTTAGGCATTAGAGCAGAACCTCCATACTACAGCAATAACAGAGATTTGATTTACACCTGATTTTGACAGACAAGAAAGAGGAGGTGGAGCATGTTTTTATATCCATGCCAACATAAAATTTAAAGTCATAGATTGTAACAGTTTCTTCGGATGGCATTAGATCTGCGGTTATCGCTAAAACTAAATAATGAGATCAGTGCGGTAGGTGTTATTTGACATCTCCTGCATTAAGTTTACTTCCTCGCCTTGAGAATAACCATCCTTCCATATGCATTGCCCATGATGAAGTTATATTGACCTTACCGATAAGTTTT